GGGCTCCTCGCGGTCGTCCCCCGGGCCGGGCGCTGGGTCCCGCACTCCCAAGGCCATCCGGCCTCGAGGAGCCGCTGGGACTCAGACGTCCGGTCCTAGCCTGTCCCGGCCGGGCGGAGGCGACCAGCTGACCCGGGACCTGGCAGGGCGCTGGAGTCGGGTCTTTGAGGCATGAGTAGGAGTTCGCCAGACGTTTCCCGCTCATGCAGGTGAAACGTCCAGTAGGGGCTGCTGACCACAGCGGTGGGCCTTTGTGAGCCTGTTTTCCTGGCAGAGGGGACAGCCTGAGCAGGCACTGGGTGCGTGGAGAAAGACGGCCGGGTGCTGCGGGGTGACAGGCAGGGCCGAGGAGGAGGTCGCAGAGGCCTGGAGGCTTCCCAGGGTGGGCTCTACCCCAGCTGGGCTCCCGCACTGGCCGGAGCAGGTGGGGCTGGGAGGTGTAAGAAGCTGGAGACTGTCCAGTTCTCTGTCGGGCAGAGGGGACCAGCTCAGGATTTGCACAAACTTGCCCTTCTCCCCACCCAGGAGCCTCCTTGTTTCAGGGGCTAGAGAGCCAGAGCAAGGGGGCCAGCAGGTGGCGTAGTAGGTAGGGCACTGGCCCCCCACATAGTGGTTGCATTTTGAGTCCTGGACCCGACCCGGTGACTCGACACTCACGCCTTGGGCGTGTGCATGCATGTTCAAAATCCCCAGAGGAGACTGGAGAAGGGATTGCAGCGTGGCCATCCCCCCTGGAGGGTGATTGCTCACTCTGTCCCTCTGTCTGTCCAGCAAGTACACGGCCCTATAGCAAAAGAAGAAAAGGGGAGGAGCACAACCCCCATGCATACCTTGGTGAGGACTTAATTTTACTCAGGTCTCTGCCCTCCTGCCCCTCTGCACTTAGGCCCTGTTGGCCAGAGGTTAGGACGGGATACACTGTTTAGTCCTGGGTGCTTACCGAGCACCTCCAAGGAGCTGAGCCCACACCGGGCACTGGGGAGAGAGGGGGCCAGACTCCTGCCCTGGAGCTGCTCACAGTCGGGCGCCGGCCGTGACCAGGCCATGTACCACGGATGAGGGTGCACGTGTGTGGTGTGGGTACGCTCAACAAGTTTGTGAAGCAGAAAAGGAGACGGAGAGCTTCTCAGGGAGCTGACCCCTGAACTATAGCCATGCCCTCCACGCAGGGGAGTTCAGAGGGCACTCTGGATGGGACAGCTTGTGGGAAGTGGCCCAGGGCCATGTCAGGCCTGGCAGGGTTGTGCAAAGGGGAAGACGCTCTGCTGAGTACTCCGGAAGGTGGTCCCTGGTGGGTGAGCTCTGCACCTGGAGACCTTGCACGTGAAACTCCAGTCCCCAGCACTCGGGTCTGTCAGGAGGGTGGCCAGACACGCACACCCTTGGTCTTGGGGAAGACAACGCAGGTGGGGGAGAGGCTCATCCAGGGCTGGCCCCCAGGCTTTTCAGATGGGGTCCCTGCAGGCTTTTTTGCCTAACTTATTTATTTATGTTTAAAGAGTCATTTATTTCTGGGACCAGCAGGTGGCATGGTGGTTAAGGCACTGGACACGCCCACATGGCCAATCAGGGTTTGATTCCCAAACCTGGCGGCTTGCTTTCTCACTTTCCCTCTCTCACTTTCTCTGTGTCTCTCTCTGGTCAAATTAAAATAAATAAATGAATGAATGAATAAAATTAAATAAACAATTTTTAAAAAGAGTTATTTATTTCATTTTATTTACCACTGTTATCCTTTTAATTAGCTATAGGGCATGTACACATGCAGGAGAGAGACAGAGACTGAGAGAAAGTGAGAAAGCAAGGCCCCAGGTCGGGGACTCAAACCATGGTCAACCACGTGGGAGTCCAGTACCTTCACCACCACGCCACCTGCCGACCCCTGTGTGCATGTGTCTCTGGTTTACCGCAGCTGTGTTCTGCCTGGACTCTGCCCCTCTCTCCTTGGTACCTGCTGGGATCTTCCCCGTCCTGTGGCAGCCCAGTTGGTGAGAGCTGCATGGTTCCCTAGACGCAGCCCAGCCTTCTGCTGCAGCTTGCTTTCTCTCGAGGTTAGGCTTTAGACCACGTCCAAATTATCACCACGACATATAATGCTGGGTGGAAGTCCTGCACCCTTTTCCTGCCTCAGCTGTTTAAAAAATTGTCAGAGGGCACCTGTGCTGACTGGAGGGGGAGAGGGTGCCCCATGGCCACGGCGGTGGCCACACCACACCCTTTCTCTTTTCAGGATTTTTAGCATGCATGCACACGTGCCTGGTGTATTTCACAAGCCTCCAGGGCAGGGACTCATTGGCACAGTCAGCTATGTGGGACCCAACCATCTCAACCACCGGGCTGTGAGCTGGCCCACCCGTTTTCTTTTTAAATGATTTATTTTACTTCTTATTTTAAATTTGCTATAGGGCACATATGCTCACTAGAGGTCGGGAAGAAAGCAAGCCACGAGGTCCGGGACTCTAACCAAGGTCAGCCATGTGGGAGTCCAGCACCTTGACCACTATGCCACCTGCAGGCCCCAGGTTTTTTAAATCCAGTTTCAAGATGCTGACTTGGGAACCAGCAATTAGCGTAATGGCTATGTCGCTGGACTCCCACATAGTCGACCGCGGTTCGCATCCCGGACCTGGTGGCTTAAAACTCACGCCGGGCGCGTGTGCGTGCGTGCCCAAGATCCCGAGAGGAGAATGGAGGAGAAGGGATTGTGGTGTGACCATCCCCCCTGGGGGATGATTTCTCGCTTTCTGTCTCTCTGTCTCTCTCTGGCGAGCGCACGCGCCCTATAGTGAAAACCTCTAAAAAAAAAGAAAAAGAAAGAAAAAGATGCTGACTTGCATTCCCCTTGGATAATCTTGGTATCTGTCGGTGTCTGCGGGCCAGACTGTTTGACCCGGTGAGGTCCTGGCCTCCCTTTGCCGTGGTTAATTTTGGCAAATAGTAACCCTTGTCTCCAACACCAGTGAACGTGCCTGTCCCACATCTTCCTGGGCGACAGCTCTCACAGGCCCCATGGTTCGCTTCCTGTCCCTTTGTTAGTGGTTGCTGCCTTCCTTCCCTGGCGGCCAGTGGCCTGGACAGCTGCCCTGAGAGCACCTGTCGGGGAAGCCTGCCCGCCTGGCTTTGGTTCCAGTGCCTCCACTTGGCAGCTGCACGACCTCGGGCAACTTAGTCCTGCTGTGTCAGGCTGTCGCCTACAGAAACTGCACCTGCCTCCTGATACGTCAGTGGGCGAAATGAGCCAACGTTGCGAAGTCACTAGGCCAGAGCCTGACACTTACACCCTTAGGGACTGGTAGCTGTTAGTAATTGTTTCACGCAGCAGCAACAGCTCCGTGAGGTCAGATGCAGTTAGAGTATGTGTCCTCGGAGCAGTGGCCCGAGGTGGAAAGGGCGTGAAACGGAGCGCCTCGGTGGCAGGGAGGGAGGCTGTGTGATGGTGCGAGACCCTCGTCAGGCCGGGGGCAGACTGTCGGACAGGTCATTGCAGGCGATGGACGCTGAAGTCAGGTCCGGCCCTAGAGCGTAGCAGCTAGGCGCTGTGCAGAGGAAGGTGGCTTCCCCACGATCGACAAGGGTTCAAGCCTCAGCCTCCCCGGCTCGAGAACATGTGCATGTTCGTCCCATGGTCCTGGACGTGGGGAGGTGGAGAGTCAGCGGTGAAGGGCTGCAGCGTGGCCAGGCGCACAGGGTCATTCTCTCGGTCCTCCCTCGGCCTGACGTTGCCCCACTGGACTGGCTCTTTCGTGTCAGCTTTTCAAAGTCCCCTTGAGGAAGGGTCTTGGGAGCAGGGGGCAACTGCTGAGGTGAACCACATCCGCCCTGACTGAGGAAGGGGAGCCAGGGAGAGGGCACGGAGCGGGGGAGAGCAGGGAGCTGGCTGGCTGCCCACAGGTGCCCACTCACCATGGGCAGCTGGGAGACAGGCAGAGTGGCGGGCAGAGCCTGTCCTGCCGCCATGGGTGGCACTCAGTCCCTGGGCTGTGTCCCCAGCTGTCAGCACCCCAGGACAGCCTCGTGGTTTCTGTCACTAGTACGTGGAAAACCAGCTGAGAGGCGGTGGCCGGGGCCGGCAGGTGTGGTCGTGGGTGCTGGACCCCCACGTGGCCAACCACAGGTCGAGTCCCGGACCTGGCGGCCAGCTTTCTCACTTTCCTTCTCGCTGTCTCTCTGTCTCTGATGACTATAGCAAGTTTAAAAACTGGTAATAATAATAAATAAACAATGCTTTTCCCCCAAAAAAGTGCATCAGACACAGCACGCAAGCTTTTGCCAGACAGGGTTGTCTGCTGGGGCTGCACGGGCCTGCCCTCTCCCGACAGGGAGTGTAGCGTACCGGAGCCATTCTCACCACGGGGAAGGCCTAGCCCCCGAGCTTACACCAGCTAGGCCGGGGAGCCGTGGGAGGGTGTGTGGGGGTGGACACATGTTGTGGGAATGGTCACGGGGTGAGGAGACGGCGTGGCCCCGCCTTGCCCTGGCTCGGATGGGCCTGACCCCTTTGGCTGTCCCCAGCTGGAGGCTGCCATGGAGCAGTGCGCATGTGTGGAGCGAGAGCTGGACAGAGTCCTGCAGAAGTTCCTGACCTACGGGCAGCACTGCGAGCAGAGCCTGGAGGAGCTGCTGCACCACGTGGCCCGGCTGCGAGCCGAGCTGGCCAGCGCAGGTGAGTGCCCACGCCCCCTCCCTGGGGCGCCTGGCGACGGGTCCCCCAGGAGCAGTGCTTAGGTCACTGGTGCGTGTGTCTCTAGGCCTCCCCAGGCGGATGACGGGAGGGTGGTGCACCTGCGTTCCCAGTACTGGGAGGCCGAGTTAGGAGGACTCGAGTTCAAGGCCAGCCTGGGCAACAGTGTGAGACCCTGGGGAAATCATTGACTTAGCAGATATTATTTCTGTTCATGTTTTGTTTTCAGTTTGCTTTTCTGACTTTGAAGGTGTCTCAGGCTAATTTCAAATTTGCAGGAAAGTTCTAATAGTATGAAGAGCTCCTACGCCGGGGCCAGCTGGTGGCATAGAGGGTTAGGCAGCTGGATCCCATGTGGCCATGTACATAGCTCAAGTCCCAGGTCTGGCAGCTTGAAACACGCCAAGCACACGTGTGTGGGCCCAAGAACCCGAGTGAGCGATTGCCGCCACGCCCTCTATGGGGCGTTTTCCGTTTCCCCCGTGTCTCGGTGGTGAGCACACGCTCCTGTGCCTTCACTGAGACCCACCAGCCAATGTGCTGCCATGTATCGTCTCTCCTGCTTTCTCATTCCTTTGCTTTTTTTTTTTTTTGAAGAGGTTTTTGCTATAGGGCACGTGCGCTCACCAGACAGACAGAGAGAGACAGAGAGATAGAAAGCGAGAAATCACCCCCCGGGGGGATGGTCACACCACAATCCCTTCTCCTCCGTTCTCCTCTCGGGATCTTGGGCACGCACGCACATGCGCCCAGAGTGAGTTTAAGCCACTGGGTCCGGGACACAAACCGCTGGGAGTCCAGCAACATAGCCATTACTCTAACTGCTGGTCCCTCTGAATATTATTACTTTTTAACAGTTTGAAAATAAGATGTAAATACTGTACCCCTTTCCCCTAAATCTTCAGGATATATTTCTTAACATCAGTGTATTCTTTTCTATAATTGTGGTATAATTTTTTTGTACTTTTTAAAAAGAATTATTTAATTTTATTTATTTATTCATTTATTTTTTCATTTGACCAGAGCAAGACACAGAGAGAAAGAGAGAGGGCAAGTGAGAAAGCAAGCCACCAGGTCCAGGACTCAAATCGTGGTCGGCCATGTGGGAGTGTCCAGCGCCTTAACCCCCACGCCACCTGCTGGTCCCAAAATGTGATACAAGTAAAACCAAGCAATGAAACACGAGTATGGTACTATCCTCTAATAACCATAGCGTGCATTTCCCCATTGTTCCAGAAATTTCCAGGAAGCAGATTATCCTAGTCCAGGGTCCAATCCAAGATCACTCACGGCGTTTGGCCTCTCGCGTCTTTTACATGTGGCACATCTCCTCTTCCCTTTGTCTCACGGTATTGCCGTTTCCGCAGCAGGGGGCCGGTTACTTCGCAGAGTGCCCCTCGCCGTGCAGCTTTCCCGTCCTTGGCAGACACGCGTTTCCCAGACTGCTGCATCGGGAGGCCCGGGCCGCTGGCTCCGCGTCCCCGTGTCGGTGGCGGTGACTTGGTTAAGATGGTGTCTGCCAGGTTCCTTCTGTATGGCTCCTACTTTTTTCTTTGTAATCGATTTTTTGTTGTTGTCGTTTTTGCTGTCGGGTGCGTGTGCTCACCAGAGATGGGGAGGCAGTGAGAAGTAAACCCCTACCCCGGGCGGGGGAATGGCCACACCACAACCCCTTCCCCTCTCCTCTCCTCTCGAATTTGGGCACGCATGCTCATATGCCTGTGGTTTCCTTTTTTTGTTTTCTTAAGAATTATTTTATTTATTATTATCCCCCTTCACTGTTTTAATTTGAGAGATGAGGAAAAGGCCTGGGGGAATCGTGCCTGTCTCAGGTTGGAGCCGTTCATGGAACCATAAATCCATCCTTACCCGTCATTGGAGAGTCCCACAGCTATGATGGGCTTCCTGTCTTAGGTGGAAGGACTGAACAGTTATTGGGTTCATCAGACTCTTACCCGTCTTGGGCTAACCGATTCAGCGCCTCAGGCGAGACCAGTATAGGGTGTTGGTCTTCCATAAGTGAGTCAATTTGTTGTTTGAGGACTGACGTGAGCCTATTAAATATAAGAGGTCCCAGTTATGTGGGAGGAGAAAGAGACATCTCAGGGTTTTCATTGTCCCTGGATGGCTTGTTAGAATCAATCTGTTTGATTAATCTTTCTGAGAAACCGGCGATGTTCGCTGGTGCGCAGCCTCCCACACTCCTCCCTTCTCTTCTCGGGATATTGGGCACACACGCACACGTGCCCGCAACCAGTGTATCTCTTAAGCAAGTTCTGTCAGGTGCAGAACTCGCAACGTGGAGTCAGCCACGTGGGGTCCTGCTGCTGTGGCCACCAGGCCACAGGCCAGCCCTGACACTCCCCCTTTCGAATGGATATTGGTGGTCGGCAGAGGTGTGCAGTCCGTACCACGTCCTCACGTCAGAAGACTCTCTTCAGCTGCTCTGTAGGTAAACCTACCCCGGACACCTCAGGTACACGAGTCGTGAAATGGGCCTTCCGTGTCTGACGTCTCTCTTTAGCATTAGTCTTCAAGGTGCGTCCCTGATGGAACTCGTTACCAGTGCCGCATCCCTTTATGCAGTGGAGTAGCCCACTCTGTCAGTCTCTGGGCTCTGGGCTGGCTCCTGTGGGTAGGAATGACGCTGCTGTGAGCACTCGTGTGCCCGGCTCTCTGGACCTGCGTCCTCACCCCTCGTGGGTGTGGAAGTAGAGGACAGCAGGGTCACGTGGGAACCACAGGCTACATATGCCATGGCACGAGCTGGCCCACAGGGAGAGCCAGGTCACCCTCCTTCTGTGGCGGCCTGTGACATCGCAGGTGAAGTGATGGCTCAGGACACGAACTGTCTCGTTCCACCTGACTGGTTCCAAGTGATGCAGTGAAAAAGTGGCAGAATCGGAACAGACACCAAGTATTTTGTGCCAACCCCATAACTTGTGGTTAAGGGAGCTGGATCCCACATAGCCAGCTTCTGTTCAAATCCCAGTCCTGGGAGCTTAAAAGACACGCCTTGTGTGTGTGTGTGTGTGTGTGTGTGTTTGCACGTATGCACACGTGTGTACGCACATGTGCCTAAAATCCCAGCAGGATGGAGGAAGAGGGATTGTGCGTGGCTATACCCCATGGGGGGGTTCTCCCTCCCTCTCTTTCTCTCTGATTATGCATGCTCCCTCTGGCACTTATAATTTTTTTTTAATTTTTTATTTTTTTGGAGAGGTTTTCACTATAGGGCGCATGCGCTCGCCAGACAGACAGAGAGTGACATAGAGACAGAAAGCGAGAAATCACCCCCCGGGGGGATGACCACGCCGCAATCCCTTCTCCTCCATTCTCCTCTCGGGATCTTGGGCATGCACTCACACGTGCCTGGCGTGAGTTTTAAGCCACCGGGTCTGGGACGCGAACCACGGTCAACTACGTGGGAGTCCAGCGACATAGCCATTACGCTCACTGCTGGTTCCCTAATAACTTTTTTAAAAAAGAAATGAAAAAGAAGGACAGCAGATACCATAAGGGTTACATCCCTGGACTCCCACATGGTCCATTGTGGTTCAAGTCCCGGACCTGGCCACTTAAAACTCATACCAGGCCCATGTGCATGTGTGCCCAAGATCCTAAGAGAAGAATAGAGAAGGGATTGCCATGTGGCCATCCCCCTGGGGGGTGATTTCTCTCTTTTTGTCTTTCTGTCTCTCCTTTCTCTCCGGCGAGCACACACACCCTATGGCAAAAATCTCTCTTAAAAAAAAAAGGAAATGGAAAATTAAGAAGCAATATCTCACTCGTGTTCCGGCTGCTTCCTGGGCTGCTGGCTGCCTTCAGAGCAGAGGCGGACAGGGTCTGCCGCTGATGCAGCTGCTCGCCTCCTGTGACCTGGCTCATCCCCGTTTCTCAGCCCTCCAGGGAGCCCCTCTCTCGGCCACCCTCTCCCTGGTGATGTCCCAGTGCTGCCGGAAGATCAGAGACACTGTGCAGAAACTGGCTTCAGACCACAAGGACATTCATAGCAGCGTGTCCCGCGTGGGCAAAGCCATCGACAGGGTGAGCGTGTGGACGGCCCGCGGGGCGTGCAGGGCTCGGCAGGAGTGGGAGCGCCTCGTCACGGCCCTGTCTCTCCTTGTCAGAACTTCGACTCCGAGATCTGCGGGGTGGTGTCCGACGCGGTGTGGGACTCGCGGGAGAAGCAGCAGCAGAGCCTGCAGATGGCCATTGTGGAGCACCTGTACCAGCAGGGCATGCTCGGGGTGGCTGAGGAGCTGTGCCGGGTGAGGCGGCGCGGGCCCTGCTGGCCTGCCGTCCCGTCCCTGCAGTCTTCCTCGGGGCGTGTCCCTTCCTTTGTTTTTGTTTTTGAAGAATTATTTTATTTAACTTTATTTATTTATTTAAATGTGACCAGAGAGGGACAAAATAATAACAATAATTCTTAAAAGAAAAAAAGACATCGACAGTAAAAGATTTCTTTTTTTTGAGGGGGTTTCTTGCTATAGAGCACGTGCACTCACCAGAAAGACCGAGAGAGACAGAGAGACAGAAAGTGAGAAATCACCCCCCAGGGAGGATGGCCACGCCTCAGTCCCTTCTCCTCCATTCTCCTCTTGTGGTCTTGGGGATACACGCATATGCGCCCGGCATGAGTTTAAGCCACCAGGTCCAGGACTCAAACTGCGATCGACTACATGGGAGTCCAGTGACATAGCCATTACGCTAACTGCTGGTCCTGGCAGTAAAAGTAAAGGAGATTTTTCCTAACATAATTAGGATAACTGAAAAGGAATTTTTCTTTTTTTTTTTGGTGAAGTTTTTGCTATAGGACGCATGCGCTCGCCAGAAAGACATAGACAGAGAGACAGAAAGTGAGAAATCACCCCCGGGGGGGATGGCCATGCCGCAGTCCCTTCTCCTCCATTCTCCTCTCAGGATCTTGGTCATGCACGCACACACATGCACCCTGTGTGAGGTTAAGCCGCTGGATCTGAGACTCGAACCGTGGTCAGCTACATGGGAGTCCAGCGACATAGCCATTACACCAACTCCTGGTTCCAAGAATTATTTAATTTTCTTCTTCATCATCTTTTTTTTAAATAGTTGAACAGAGAGCGACAGTGAGAAAGCAAGCTGCCCGGTTTGAGGCTTGAAAGGCTTGAACCACGGCTGGCCGTGTGGGAGCCCAGCCATAACACCTTAACCATCATGCTACCGACTGGCCCCATTCTTTTAAAATTTTCTTTTCTTTAAATAATTATTTGATTTAACTTTATTTATTAATTCATTTATTTCATTTTAATTTGACCATAGAGGGACAGAGGGAGAGAAAAAGAGAGGGAGGGAAAGTGAGAGAACAAGCCGCCAGGTTCAGGACTTGAACTATAGTCGGCCATGTGGGAATTCAGCGTCCTTAACCACCACACCACCTGCTGGCCCTATTTTTTAATTTTCTATAGGACATGTGCACTCACCAGGGAGAAAGACACCACCTGCTGGCCCTATTTTTTAATTTTCTGTAGGACTTGTGCACTCACCAGGGAGAAAGTGAGAGGGACAGGGCCAGTGGATGGTATAATGGTTACTTAACTGGACTCCCACGTAGTTGACTGCCATTCGAGTCCCGAACTTGGTTCAAAAATAACCAGGTGCATGTGTGTGTCCCTAAAATCCCGAATGGAGAATAGAGGAGAAGGGATTACGGCATGGCCATCTCCTCTGGGGGGGTGATTTCTCTCTTTCTATCTCGGTCTCCCTGTCTCTCTGGCGAGTGCACACACCGTATAGCAAAATTACTCTCTGAAAAAAGAGAGAGAAGGAGGGAGGGATAGGGAAAG